GCTCAATACAGATGTCACAGCTAATCTCCATTTTCACATGACATAAGTAAGTGGAGGTGCATTCATCTTTAAAGTTGGGAAATAAATAAAAATATAAATAATTCCTCATACCAGATTAAGTCATTGAAGGGACGCCATCTCCTATTATGTTTAACCCAATGAAGAGAGTGAATTGAGCAATCTACTCATAAAATGGTATTGAATTAAAAAAACACTGTTATTAGAGGAGTATAGTCTTTATAAGAGAGCTCCACACAGTACTTGTTTGCATCTGTACTAGTGACATGAAAAAAACTCTGCTGCAATTTTAGAAAAACTTGTGAGGTCTCCATGCATGTGACAGTTAGAAACACGTAGAAGAATCATTATATGTGTATGGCCCATTTCTTTTTAAATAAGTCACAACCTAGTAGGCCTGGACTTGGAAAGACTACACTGCTCCCATGACACAATATGAGCTTCCTTTATTCTGCTTTATGTAAGCTCTGCTGTCAGAATGATGTGCTGAAGTGGGTGGGATAAGACGTAACATTTTCCATCTCATGAACGGTATATTAGCTGCTCTCCCATTGTAAGGAAAGAAGACAGAAGTGTCAGATGGATGTGTTTTAGATTCATAATTTAAAAAAAAAATAACCATGCTTTCCCTATGACCAGAGTTTTCCTTTAAACATATTACATTCACGCATTTGCTATTTAAGCATATGGTGGTCTTCAGATGGGAGCTCTTTCAAGTGTGATGAATAACTACAAACGGTTGCAGTTTTCCTCTATTAAGGATAGTGGTCTTCCAAAACAAAAACCCCTCTTCCTGATACTTTATTCAACAGCAACATTATATAGGAAAATTCCTTAGCAGAAAGGGAAAAAAGTACTGACTGATATATTAGGAAACGGATGCTTCTTTCTCATGCATCAATCTTACAGAACACATCCTGAAGTTCCACATAGGTATCATTCCAAGGCGGAAAGCACAAATACTAAGAGGATTCATGTAACAGCAAATGATGTTCTTAAGGTACAGAGCCTGTGCCAGATATTTTATTTGAGGTTGTATACCCAGCAATATTATGCTGGCCAAGAACATTTCACACAAACACAGGAATGCTTTACAAAGTATTTTGCTATTTCATTCCCAATTTCACCACTAAACTCGTACATCCCTTTGATGTCCCAGCCAGCAGATTGATCATACTAGGGGATTGTTGGTGCATGTCAACAGATATTACACCTTCAGGTCATCTATACTTTTAATAAGATTTAATCCAACTTTATTAATTTAGTCTGGGTTCTGGCATTCATGTTATAGCTAGGCATGAGGTTTCTTTTATTTATGTATATCAAAGCAACCTGCTATTATCCCTGTATTGATTGCTTTGCCGGTTTAGTGCATGCTCTTGCTAAATGTTGCTTGGCTTAAAGTCCAAGCATATACTATCCTGTTATAACATCAGCATTGTAATAGGAATACATACTGGAGTTGCTTTTGATAATGTAATCAAAGCTTACTTGAAAAAAAAAAAAAAATTTATGTAGCGAGTGCTGCCTTCCTTCTGCCCATCACTTTCAACAACTTCCTGGATTTGCATGTTCTCCCTGTGCTTGTGTGGGTTTCCTCTGGTTTCTTCCCACACTCCAAAGACATGCTGGTAGGTTAATTGGCTCCTGTCTAAATTGGCCCTTGTGTGTATGCATGTGATATAGGGACCTTAGATGGTAAGCTCCCTGAGGGCAGGGACTGATGTGAATGTGCACTGATGTAAAACGCTGTGAAAATTGTTGTAAATAAATAATGAATTTGCTTTGCATCTCTTTGCCTGCTGCTTGATTCGATGCAATCTTGATTTCTCAAGACTACATATTCCATCATGCATTGCTTCCATCAAGCAATGATAATGTTACATTGTTCACACCTTGAGTTTTACTTTAGAAGGCACACTCTGTGGGAGTTGTGGCACAAGGAAGTATATACACAGAGTTGGATGAAATCATGTTAGTGCATTGAGGAAATACATCATGAGGACATCTTCAATAAGTACATTTACAAACTTCTAGATCAACATGGTTATTAGGAGTTGGATAGGACTTCACAATTCATTATAGAAATACATATCTATGTTTTGTTTTTGACCATAGATACCCTTTAAAATGTACTGCCTCAGTTATTAGTTTAATGCCAACATCTGAATTATTTATGATCCAGGAAATCTATGTTGACCAATAAATTTAACAATACTGATCTAATACTGATTTACCCCAACAATTGTTTTTTTTCAGCAAGAATAGCTAAAAATGACCGCCTTATGGCTAAATATACCAATCATTATGACAAATAACATGTCTCATGGCTTAGAGCAGGGGTGCCCATAAGGTCGATTGCATAGCGATCAGTGGTAGATCACGATGGCCTCTCCTTCCGCCTGTGCTGCTTCTCTGGATCCCCGCTGCTCTCCCCTAGCTGTATGCAGCAGGGATCTGAGAAGTGAAAGAAGCACTGAAGCCCGCGGCGGAGGAGGGAGACACTGTCACAGAACTAAGGCCGAGCAGTGAGGAGAGAGAGAGACGCTCGGCCTCTCTCTCCCCTTCCCGCTCGGCCTTAGTTCTGTGAAAGCGGCTCTGCCCCCCCCGCGGCTGCAGCTCTTCTTTCACTTCTTCTCAGATCCGCCTCTGCCTGGGAGAGCAGCGCAGATCCAGAGGAGAAGCTGAGCCCCCCTGTGCGTGGCGGAGCGGCAGAGGATCGGGACATACCAGTGATATGTCCCGATCCTCTGTGCAGGACAAACACTGGATCGATCAGCTGATCACTCCAGTGTTTGTAAATAACTGGGGACACATAGCACTATGTGTCCCCAGTTATAAATGAACAGGATGTGATTTACATCACATCCTGTTCATTCATGAGTTTCTCAATGGGGAGAAGCACTTCACAACAGAGGCTCCTCCCCATTCAGAAACTGGATGATAGGAAAATATTTTCTGAATGAATGGGAAGCCTCTGCGCTTTCCATTCATTTAGAACAGAGGCTGCAGAAAAAGAGATTGAGGACTTGGTGTCCTCAATTTCTTTTTCTATTTTAAAAGGGAAATATCAGGTGGCTGTTTAGACCCCTAATATTTACCCCAAGAGTAAAAAAATATATTAAAAAAATAAAAATTAGTAAAAAATAAATCCTGGAGGCAGGGCACTGGGTGACATCACACTCCTGTTGGCGCGGGGGGGGAACACACACACACAGTTTTCTTTCTTGCCTCGGGCGCAAAAGGAGCTGGCTACCGCTATGGTCCTGCAGTGCTCGCGCAGCTGTCGGCTGAAAGTGGCAGACGCTGCAGATGGAAAGGGGCGGGACACCTCTCCCCATGTGCTACATCAGCCACACGAGCACAGTGGGAGGACAGGACGCGGGGCCTCTAGGACGCACAAATGTGCCTGGGTTCCGGGTGCAGGCGATCGAACTGTGGGCGAAGGGGAACCCCAAGAGTAAAAAAATATATTAAAAAAATAAAAATTAAATAAATAATAAAAATAAAAAATAGTAAAAAATAAATCCTGGAGGCAGGGCACTGGGTGACATCACACTCCTGTTGGCGCGGGGGGGGAACACACACACACAGTTTTCTTTCTTGCCTCGGGCGCAAAAGGAGCTGGCTACCGCTATGGTCCTGCAGTGCTCGCGCAGCTGTCGGCTGAAAGTGGCAGACGCTGCAGATGGAAAGGGGCGGGACACCTCTCCCCATGTGCTACATCAGCCACACGAGCACAGTGGGAGGACAGGACGCGGGGCCTCTAGGACGCACAAATGTGCCTGGGTTCCGGGTGCAGGCGATCGAACTGTGGGCGAAGGGGCTGCCTGCGGTGCCTGGCTGCGGTGCCATTGACTTCAATGCACCGCCACGCCCCCTCCCACCCCTGAATGCAGGTGTTTTTTTGTTGGTAGATGTCATTGAGCTCATCATTTGAAAAGTAGATCTCCAGACGAAAAATTGTGGGCGCCCCTGGCTTAGAGAAATCAGCCTAAAGATTGTCGTCACATACAGTACATATGTTTTAGGACCTTCGTATTGCACCTTGCTAATGTACATCCCACAGCCCCCTAAAACCAGACCTCAGGCCATGACCGAAGAGAAGGTAAAGTGCCTCCAAACCCATACCACGACTAATCCAACTGACAGCCTTGAGGTAGTGTGAATAGATATTTCACTTTGGAATTATTTGACATTCATCCACTGTTTTCCAATGTTAGAGTTAACATTTAGGGCTTGTTCACATTAGGACACATAGAATTTTCTTTTTACACCATACATGTATGATGGTGTGCTGAAAAATGGAGCCCAATGGGCATAGTGTGAAAAGCCCTAAATGAATACTATTACTCTAAAACACAAGACTAAGTAGTCTATGTTGGCCCAACATGTGCAAACCCAGGCATTACTCAAATGTTTGACCCTCTCCCCAATATTGTATCCCATAGGACAGGGGTGTCAAACTCAATTTAATCGATGGCCGCATCAACATTATGGTTGCCCTCAAAGGGCCTGGAAGACTATATAAATGTATCTAATCTTTATCATAATTGCCTCTGCATTCGATTATCACTGGTTTTAGTAATAACTTAATACCTAGATCTGAAAGTAGAAGTCTAGGAAATAGCATGGTGGGCCGGATTTGGCCCCTGGGCCTTGAGTTTGACACATGTGCCATATGAAATGGTCATTCTGTGCATTGAGGTCACTTTATTTACATAAAACCACCTTGTGTAAATGTTTGAAGATCATAACTGTCAGGAAACATCTTGTATTTATTTTGAAAACACCCCCTCTCGGAAAAATAGACACAAGAAAACAAGTAATATTACAAATTACAGGTTTATTGCAAAGAATACTTGCATTACTATGATAATATAGTAAAATTACCTGTGAAAGCTAAAAATGCAATTACCTGAGATAATTATATATAAAAAAAAAAGAAAAGAAAGTGATTTATGAAAGCCTGTCCCTCCCACAGTGAATACAAATGAAATACTGTACACATGACATATTTTCATCTAAATAACTATTTTAATGTTACATTATAGACAAAAAGCATAAAGTTGCTCACATGACCTTCTTGCAGCCAGTGTTTACAATAACAGAATGTTTAATAAATGAATATGTCTATATCTTCACACATACATATACACTCAAATATTCATAAATTACACACACAAACTCACTTTTATGGACAATATATTTAAATTAATAAAAATATTTTAAAACACAGGGATTTAGAGCAGAATTACAAAGTCCTTTTTTTCGTCTGTTTAATTTACATGGTTTAAAAATAAATGCCCGTTCAGAACGTATCCAAGCAGTCCGCATTAACTATACAATGTAGCTGGTGAGATCCAACAAATATGACGTCACGTCGATGATTTGGTCTAGAATACCTGCCCTGGCCACTCTGCGAATGTTTCTGTCCACCTGCTCACACTGTGAGCCCAGGTATCCTTTTTTACATAAACACTTGTTTGGCCTTACACAGACACCTCCATGTCGACATGCTGGTTCACATTTTGCTGTTGAAAATAAAAGAAATACATAGTCACTGAATGAAATTTATAGAAACATGAGGCCTTTAAAGGGGAGAAAAATGTGATATGAAAATCAAAACATTTGATCCATTCTTTACACTCTCTGCCCTCTTCTATGAGCTTCATGTTGAACAGAGCACCACCGATGCAACATATGGTTTGTTGAAAGTGCCTCGCAAACATTCTACTAATTTTTAATAAGTGCATTGGTGAAAAGCAGGGCTGTGATTAGGGACCCGATCCATTTTACTGCCTGAAAATAAAAAAAAAACTCATTAGGGGGTACAGGTGGTGCAGTGGGCGGCTCTTTAATTAGGCAAATTAGGCGGCCGCCTTAGGCCTCGCGCTCCCGGCCGCCTAGTTTGCCCTGTCGGAACGGCAGCCAGGTACCGTTGTGAGCTCAGGGCTGAGAGCTCATCCGTTTCCTCGATCGTCGGTGTGGACCATCGACTCGGTCTTCTGGACGGAGCTCCGCCCACCAGCCAATGAGAATAGACCTCACCCCTCTAATCCACCGCACTAGGATCTCTGGCTGGGAGGGCGGAGTTTAACTTCAAAAGCTGACATCGTCCTGCACGCTCCTGCCAGCCAGTTTCCCCCTGCAAGATGCGGCCACCACAGCACAGGAGTGGCAGGCTGGAGAGGCCTATGGTGAGCCCTGTAGAAAGCAGGTGAGAGCCCTGTGGAGAGCGCTGGTTTAACCAGAGCTCTGTGGGGTCTCACCAGGGCTCTGTGGGGGTCTAACCAGGCTCGTGAAACCCCACATAGCCATGGTGAGACCCCATGGAGCCCTGGTGAGACCCTACGGAGCCCTGGTGCTGGTGAGACCCTACGGAGCCCTAGTGCTGGTGAGACCCCACAGAGTACTGGGGAGACCCTACAGAGCGTTTGTTTAACCAGGGCTCTGTGGGGGTCTTATCAGTGCTCTGAGGAGTCTCACCAGGACTCTGTGGGTCTAACAAGGGGTGAGACCCCATGGAGCCCTGGTGAGATCCTACGGAGCCCTGGTGCTGGTGAGACCCTACGGAGCCCTAGTGCTGGTGAGACCCCACAGAGTACTGGGGAGACCCTACAGAGCGTTTGTTTAACCAGGGCTCTGTGGGGGTCTTATCAGTGCTCTGAGGAGTCTCACCAGGACTCTGTGGGTCTAACAAGGGGTGAGACCCCATGGAGCCCTGGTGAGATCCTACGGAGCCCTGGTGCTGGTGAGACCCTACGGAGCCCTAGTGCTGGTGAGACCCCACGGAGTACTGGGGAGACCCTACAGAGCGTTTGTTTAACCAGGGCTCTGTGGGGGATTTATCAGTGCTCTGAGGGGTCTCACCAGGGCTCTGAGGGGTCTAACCAGGCTTGTGAAACCCCACATAGCCATGGGGAGACCCCATGGAGCCCTGGTGAGCCCCTACGGAGCCCTGGTGCTGGTGAGACCCTACGGAGCCCTAGTGCTGGTGAGACCCCACGGAGTACTGGGGAGACCCTACAGAGCGTTTGTTTAACCAGGGCTCTGTGGGGTCTCACCAGGGCTCTGAGGGGTCTAACCAGGCTTGTGAAACCCCACATAGCCATGGGGAGACCCCATGGAGCCCTGGTGAGCCCCTACGGAGCCCAGGTGCTGGTGAGACCCCATGGAGCCCTTGGTTTAACCAGGGCTCTGTGGGGTCTCACCAGGGCTCTGAGGGGTCTAACCAGGGCTCTGAGGGGTCTAACCAGGCTTGTGAAACCCCACATAGCCATGGGGAGACCCCATGGAGCCCTGGTGAGCCCCTACGGAGCCCAGGTGCTGGTGAGACCCCATGGAGCCCTTGGTTTAACCAGGGCTCTGTGGGGTCTCATCAGTGCTTTGGGGGGTCTCACCAGGGCTCCGTGGGTCTAACAAGGCTGGTTAGACCTCAAAGCACCCTGCTACCCTGGTGAGGCCCCCTCAGAGCCCACAGAGCCCTGGTTTAACCAGGGCTCTCACCAGGGCCCTGAGGGGTCTAACCAGGCTGGTGAGACCACATATAGCCATGGTGAGACCCTAGAGAGCCCTGGTGAGACCCTACAGAGACCTGGTGCTGGTGAAAACCCATCTCACCCTAGTGAGACCAGACAGAGCCCTGGTGAGACCCCACAGAGCCCTGGTTCAACAAGGGCACTGTGGAGTCTCACCAGGGCTCTAACCAGGGTGGTGAGACCCCACTTAGCCCAGGCGAGATCCTACAGAGTCCAGGCGAGACCCTACAGAGCCCAGGCGAGACCCTACAGAGCCCTGGTGAGACCCTGCGGAGCCTTGGTTTACTCAGGGCTCTTTGGTGTCTCACCAGGGCTCTGTAGGGTCTACCCATGCTGGTGAGACCAGACAGAGCCCAGGTGAGACCTACAGACCCCTGGTTTAAACAGGGCTCTGTAGGTCACACCTGGGCTCTGTGGGGTTTCACCAGTCCCCACAGAGCCCTGGTGAGACCCCACAGAGCCCTGGTTAAATCAGGGCTTTGTAGGGTCTCACCAGGGTTCTGTGGGGTTTCACCAGGACTGGTGAGACCCCGCAGAGCCCTGGTGAGACCCCACAGAGACCTAGTTTAACCAGGGGTCTGTGGGGTCTCACCAGGGCTCTGAGGGGTCTATCCAGGCTGGTGAGACCCCCACAGAGCCCTGGTTAAACCCTACAGAGCCCTGGTTTATTCAGGGCTCTGTGGGGTCTCACCAGGACTATTTGGGGGTCTCACTAGGGCTCTGTGGGGTCTCACCAGCCTGGTTAAACCCCACAGAGCCCTGGTGGGACCCCGCAGAGCCCTGGTGGGATCCCACAGGCCTGAGTGGGGCCTCATGTTTAGGTTTCGCCTAAGGCCTCGCAAACTCTAGAGCCGCCTCTGAGGTGGTGCTGGTGGAGAGTGATGCTGCCCCCCAACATAACCCTCATTATAGGGAAGGCCATGGCTGTGAGCCAATCAGCTACACAAATAGTATTTATTATCCATGTTATTTCTTTATTTCTTTGTGTTATACAGGATACTAAACCAGTGAAAGGTCATACAGCAGTCATGTTGCCATAATGAAGATTCTACTGTCAGTTGTAAAAGAATGTACACCATTGAGTGATGAGTGAAATAATGGGCTAACTGCTGGCCACCAGCAGATTGATGGTTTGGTCCATCTAGCCTTGATTGTAATTTATGGCTGTATAGAGTTATCTAAAGCTAAAGATGCAATCATATAATGACAACTCTCTATATGAACATTATATAGTCAGCTAGAGACAGTGGTTTGCCCTTAACCTGCTTATATATTTGTACCAGCAAAATAAACTTTGGTGTTTGTACATATGTTTAGCAAAATAATATGTACAGAAATGAATGTTAAATACAAAGTTTATTTTGTCATTGCCTAACCTTACAATTTCAGGTTTGTGGAGGAATGTCATCTGGTGTTATTGTCTGTATGTTAAAGTTGTAAATAAATAGATATTTAGGGCACTAGACATGCTGCTGCCTTACCTTCGCCCAGTTGTGGAGTGCTTTCACTGATTTAGAATGCTGGTGTGGGGGATGGTACAGTATAAGCGCAGCAACCTTTTTTATACATAGACTATGTTGGGGCCCCAACTATTTATCTTATCTCCTATGGCACCAACTGTGAATCTGCTAGTTGAGAAAAATGGCTCTCCTAGTATAATGAATAGAACATCTAACAATCTAGGCACCCACAAAATATCTATGAGACCCAGTCTGGGGTCTATTCATGCAGGCTGTTAAAGGCTAAGTTTACTTTTCTAACCAAGTTTCATGTTACACCCATAGTTAGGGTGTAACATGAAACATGGTTACATTCCCAACCCCTCACCTGCCCCCCCCCCCCACTTACCTGAATTGTGGGATTCCTCTCCCCCAGACTGATGTCACTATTTAAATTTGGCGCAGTTGTGTGTGGCTCTGTCGGCACAGGTATGACATCCATTTTTAGATCCATTCACAGGATCTGTGAATGGAGAGACTAAAGTCCCATCTGTCACTGTTCTCAATGGAGAACAAGCACAGTGACGTCACTGCACTTGCAGTCCTTTCATACTTCTTTGCATCCTGTAATTAAAAGTCTGTACCTCAATATGGACAGGGGTGGGAGGAAGAGTCTGCATGCGTCTAAGCATTGCATCTGCAAACCACTGATCGCAGTTGCAATCATTTGCAGGCTCAAATGCAAAAAAAATAATACATGCACATTTTTAATATATGTGCATTTATTATGTAATGCAAAAGCTGGTCTATGCCTTTAAAGTCAGGGTGATTTTGTAAGAAGTCCATCATAGCTATGTTTGGGGCAGAAGAAATAATTAAAGCGTTGTCCCTTAATACTTATTTAGAAATGATTCATTATTCATGTTATTAATGTAATTTGGTGCAAGAGTAAATATAGTGTTTTTTTTGAGAGAGCAGCACATAAAGCAAAGATTATGTGCAAAGTGCAGTTAGTTGATCAACCAATAAGTTTTCTATTTATTACAGTCATTGGCTAAAGATTTCTGGATGGCTGTTATCTGTTACGGTGCTCTGTATGGCCTTACTTAATATTATAAAATATGTATCCCAGTCTCAATTATGATATGTATATATCCCACCATGAGTAGTCAGAAATGTGTTTTCACTGGTCTGGCAAAGCTGAACAGCTAAATGGATAAATCTGATTAGTTGCTGTTGATAACTATACTTTTGTATGGAGTTGTAGAGGACCGGCCTGTTTCTTTTTAATGTAATCACAGCATAAATCATTTTTGTTTTGTATTTTCTGAGTATTACACTAAAACATAGATCACTGACATAACTCTAAACAAGGCATATTATCAGATTAGCAGAAATCTAGGTGCTGTTGAGTAAATCAGCAGAAGAAAATTCCCATCATGGTACAGAGACAGCAGTATGGCTCATATGTCATATGGTATGGAAAATGTCATTACACAGAGACATTGGGCTTTTTCCAGCATTGATCTACCACAATAAAATTACAGCTACAAAAGTATCAAGGTCCCAAATTATATATTCTGAGGCACCCGGAAACATATAGAACATTTACGTCACATTGCTTGGTTAATGTCACTAAATCCCTGTAATCCTTTTCTCTCAAGTTACATGAATCTGAGTATAGTTCAGAGTATTTCTCTGTGGTGATGATGACAAATTAATGGAAAACACATAGTAAAAGCATGGTATTCATAAGAGAAAGATTACTAACCCATCCGACAGAACTCTCCTTCCCATCCTTGATTGCAACAGCATTTTCCAGTGGGTGTACAATGGCCGTTTTTACATTGACGGGAGCATTCCGAGGACAGCGGCTGTGGTGGAAGCACAGGCCTCTTGCATTCTTCAGGCATTGCTGCCCTAAAAAAACAACAAAAACAAAAAATTACAAATGTTAACATTCATTAAGTATACCACTTATCAATATGTAAAAGGTACCCTTACAAAAGTAAGACTGAAGAAAGAAGCCCTTCCATGACTGCCCATCTGCATGCTAGAGAATATATTCAGCAGTCCAGATGAAACTTTTCTTTTGTTATGGATAGAGTAGGGAATGGGTATAACCTCTATCGGGTTTTAATTTGGTTTGTGGTCTTGTTGGGGGATTTTCTCCTCTTTTCTGGGAATGAGGGTAAATCTCCTAATTAGGGCCGCAGGCAGTAATAAAATCTAATAGAGGATCTGACTAGATTTATTATACAAAATTCAAGATGTAGTAGGTGCTGGATAAATTCCCTTTAAGAAATAGCTGAAACGATGAATATGTTTTAAAAAAGACCTGAACTGGAAAAGTGAAGATCTGCTGTTATAGGGAACATTTAGAAAAGTTTCTTGTGCCTAAGCATTATACCCTGAAACATCTTTGTCTTGAATTTGTCCTGAAAAATAGCAGTGCACTCTGGTATGTGATGGTGCCAAGGCACTCCTGTTTCTACAGTTTCATATCTGTATATTAGCATTGTGAAATCTAAGGCAGTGCTGCCTCTGATTGCTAGTCTCATCAGATTGGTGATGTTAATACTATGCTGCTCACTTTTCTCGTTGCTGAAGGCTGACTTGAGGAAGCAAAGCTCTGCCTCTACCAAGATGGTCACCTCCACACAGAAACATTGCAGAACAAGGCATGGTAAGTCAGTAATTGGAAAGAATCAGCTGCAAGAAGATCACAGGGGATATTTTGCCTATATTATTCCTGGAGCACAGGTTCAGTATGTAGCAGTGCAGTATGTAAACTCTCTATAACATCTGACATTGTTGGTATAGTCATTTTCTTTGGGGCAAGTGACGGGTTAAAGCAAAACATTAAGGCCAAATTTGTCAAAAGACAGGGTTAAAGTTGGTCAATAGCCTAACATTTCTATGCAACAATGTTAATAAATTAATGTTGAACACACACAATTCATTTAACTGGGAAACCTGTGAACAATGTGGGATTCAGCTAGTTTTACTGCATCTGCATGTCCCTTCTTTTCAATGTTTATCCTTTTATTAAGTGTTTTACATACAGGATTATATTTTATTTTAATAAAAAAATAGTAGAAGAATATTCATAGTTAGAAATTGTTCATATCTCTCTCTCTATAAATATGCAGAATTTCCTGCACTACCTGCATTGCCTTAAAGTGGAACTACAACCTCCTATCCAGCTAGTGAAGGTGCCATCTTAGCCTATATTTGGATTGCAGTTGCCATTATGCAATTTGCCTTTATGCTGTACATGTGATCAGCTATGATACTTGCCATATGAGGCCTTGAAAACCTCAGATGGGAGCTGAAATAAGCACACTGGCAACCTTGACAGTTGGCATGCCTTGCAAGCAACTCTTTTGGGAGACATTAAAATGGTGGGTAACGTTTCCATTCATTTTGAATTGGGTGCCAAGGTACGACAATGGAATGAAGCCAAAACAGTGTGGGTTTAAATAAAAGGCTTTTGAAAAGTATTATCTATTCTAAACGAATTTGGATCTCACTCAGGTTATAAAATAAATGTAACTAAAAGTGAAATTCTGTCCCTATCCCGTGCACCTTCCTTGGGTCTCCCAGAAGTGGCAAGATACGGCCTGCAAGTAGCACACGGTCATATCACCTACCTGGGCATCAAGATGGGCAGGTTGCCTTCCTCATTATATACTTTAAACTATAAACCTAGGCAAAATATGTCTTTGGTTACTCATGGTATTATGGTTAAACATCTTTTGTTTACTCCTCGATACAGGATGAGATTTAATGTTTTGAAGAGCAATCCCCCAAATCAGGTTACCTGTACCACTTTAGTTATCATTCAGGCAATTGAATTATATAAACATAGCATCCATATAATTACAGAAATATGTTGACAATGGATAACGTTGTTGAAATAGCCTTTTTATTTTGTACAAAGTTGACCATTAGTACAGATTTCAGTAGAAATGTAAAGTTTGCCACAAGGACTGAATGTGTTCTTCTTCAGACTCCAGCCCTAAGCGAATGCTCATTAGTACTACGTCCTAGCAAGCAGAAAACCTCTATTTGCTCCCAGGTGCAAGCAATTAAAACACATAATAAATCCAGTGACAGTAAAGCAATGAAAAGTGCCAATAAATCGGCACCGTAAATGCTTGTGTACAAGTGTAGGCTGTGTTCTAGAATTGAAAAAGGTATATCACACAGTAAACTTACCATACACATATTTTGAATAGGAGATGGGCCTCTACCTTATGTGGAAAACTAGTGCGTGGTGAATTTTATTTAATACATTTGTTACAAAACAACTTTAGAGATGCAAAAAGTGTATTTGCTAAAACCTTGTTTAATCAGTGTAGAAGCACACGGCAACAACTCGAATATACTGTGATCATTGCTACCTACTTTATTGATAAATATACATTTTAATCTGATTATGTCCTGTGACTACTATTTAGAAAAAATGGGAGGGAAAGAGAGAAAAGGTATGAGGTGTGACTCTAACCTCAGGTGGCAAAAGCAATCCTGATTCAACACTGAAAATGCTTCAAAATCTGCCTTACCTGGAAAATAAACTGCAGTGTAGATTGTAGCTAAACAGTACAGATTTTGCATCCCTGTGTACTTTATAAAGCATCCATACTGTCAGGATGCAGCTGAGGGCCCTAAGGCAAGATGGGAAACCTATCTAATGCTATTCCTTAAAGCGTGGCAAAATGCTCACCACGCATCCTTATAGGAACAAGATAATAACTGGGGCTGTGATCTTATTTAAAGGCATATTCCGCCTTTTTCAAAAAGTTATTAAATGTGCCCGCATTGATAAAAAAAAGTGAATTTTTTTTTTTTTTGCATTTGAGCCTGCAAAGCACTGCAACCATGATCAGTGTATTACGGGTGCAATGCACAGGCTCCTGCAGACTCTTCCTCCGGTTTCAAGTCCATACGGCAGTACAGACCTTTTTTTATGGGGCTGGGGGGAAGTTATCAATGGGCTACAAGTGTGATGACATCATGAGACTTGTAGTCTTCATAGGACTTGAATGAAGAACTATCCTTCTCTATCCTAAAGAGGAACTCCAGGATTTTCAAAAGGTAACTCCCACATTGCAAGGATTAACTGCTCATTTATGTCTAGGGTCACAAATAAAGAAAATATACTTACTTGATCCTTGATTCAACCTGGCTGCTAGACTGTTCCTCGCAGCCTCTTCTTCACAAGGCACCAGAGGTCTAAGGACCTGTGAGGTTATCAGATCTAACAGGTCTATTAGATGCAAAGACGCTGAGGGACATACAGTACCACAGCCAGAGTGGAGAGGGAGAGAGGTGAGCACTGACTGCCGCACGACCGAGGATAGGGTGAGTATATCATCTTCTTTATTCCTTTCCCTAGACCAAAACAAGCAGGCAACTCTTGCAGTGTGGAGGAAGCCCCACTGCAAGAGTTAACTTTTGAATATCCTGGAGTTTGTCTGTAAATATTTCTGAGCTCCCTTCTTTGTTATTAAAGCAAACCCATTGTTTGCCCATTATTGGCAAAGTAACAGATTCAGTTTACAAACTTTTTGAAATAGTTTTTTGGACAGAGTGTCGTAGGAATAGAACCCCTGTCAGGTACAGTATATAGGGCATTCTGTGACCTCGCCGAGAAGCAGACTAAAACAAAACATATTTTTTTCGTGTAAAATAGGGAAAGGTTAGAACTCTTGTCAGGTTGATATAGCTATCTGTGTCTTCCTGTCCCAATGACAACTGTTCCCCGCATTTCTTGCTCCGCTGTCACAGGCAGTAAATGAGCTAAATTCACTCCAACAATGTCAAGAACATTAATAAAAATAAGCAATTACTCTTGCCAAGTCTAACTTAAAACTAAAAAAATTGGCTTTACTATAGTTGGCCATTAAGCATCCTACAATTACCATATCTGCAATATTCTACTTCCAGACAGCCTGGAAATCCTGCGTAAGTTTTGACTTGCTCCCCCACCACCATGTGACATAATTATTTTGCTGCACATAGCCTGTGCAGAAAGCTCAGCTGTGGGTGAGACCCATCAGGCTCCACCCACTACAGGTTGTCTGCACAAAACTACAGGAGGGGCGGATACAAGACCAATCACCCTGCACAGGGAGAGAGATCAGCAGTATGAGGTCTTTATTACACTAATTTCTTGCAGAGAAGCAAAGTCCAGGAGTTATTTAATGCTACATTACTGCACAGATGTTGAAGATACACACAACGCACACCAAGATTTAAATAAAAATACTTATATTACTTACATTTAGACAAGATTTGTTAGTCACTGATTTCAGCTTCAACTCCCTGTAAAGTGACCCTAATTCCTTGCCCAGAATGGGTGATATACAGGTTCACGCTAAAGCTGGCCATACACTGCTCAAATTTTGACTGATTCCTGCTGAAATCGGATCATACTAAAAGCCCTGTTGGCCTCACCCACCTCCTTAATGAAATTCATTTTTTTAAACAACTTTTTTGAAAGAGCTGTTTTTTTTAAGAAGCTTGGAGGCGGGAATCAATAGATTATCTAAGCATGTATGGTCAAAGTAACATAGATCCTCCTGCTGCGTGTGGCTTCACTTTAGTGGGGTCAGAACTGTGATCTCCAATTTTAATAGTGTGGGGATGAGTTAGAAGCTCTGTCATGTATTATTCCTGTGTGTGTCTGCCGTGGGGATAAAACATCTACTGTACTTCCTGTCTTGGTGACTTTTGACACAAGGACAGTAAGTAAAGGAAATTGCACTGTTGAGCATTATTTTCCCAATGGAAACTCCTGTCCTGCTGAGGATTGCAAATTGTGGTATTTGCTATCACATTCCTTTTGTGTCACAGGAGATGTCAGAATAGGGACAGAGACAGTATTACAACAGTTTCCAAAGGTTTTGGCTGGC